AAAAAAAAAAAAAAACAAAAACAAATTCAAAATCCTTACCTTAACCATTTAATGAAGAACTTTTTTTTGCAGCATACCATGTTTGTGCAATTTAAGCCTTTGTAATTGACTACAGGATCCCTGTTGTGAATATCAGTTGTCTTATTGTAAAAATCTGTTGCTATCACTTGTTCTTATTAGAGATTTATCCATATATTTTGAATGATTATTTTGCTTTGGTATGTTTGCTTCAGGTCTTTTTTTTTCCCACATTGCCAGCTTGTTTGCCAGTTATCACTTCTTAATTGTGTTCATTTATCTGCTAGTTGGATACTGTGATTAAGAAACCATACTTACTAGCGTTGAGCTTACAGTGAAGACTATTACAAGAAGGCTTTTTCATACAAATAAAATGTATGAATTTCACAATAGAGATCGATGTCTTATTCCTTATCTTCTGATAAATGATGGATTAATATTTATCCCAAGGATTAATGTCAAAACTAAAATAGTATTTAGAATCAAAACATGTTTTCATTTAATAATAATTTGCATTATTTCAGTAACAATGCATAACAAAAAAGATGTAAATTTTCATTCCCCGTGTCACTACTAAAGTTAGAGATTTCACATGGGATGTTGATTTAGTAACGATTCATACAATGCTTAGCTGTTTTGGAGAGTGTCTTCTCTCTGGGGTCTGTCCAGATTCTGTTTCGTACCCAACAACAAGCAGAACCAGGCATCCTGTGCATTCCTGTTATCATCTTCTTATCCAGGGAACATTGCATTAAAAAGGTTGTTTTTGTTTTCTAATGTAACAGACTTCATACTGTAGAGCACTTTATAGTTAGAAGGCTTTTTAAAAATACCTCAGGTTTTGCCATTGAACTGTTTGTTACAAAGGAAGGAAGATTGTAGTTTCTTAAAATCTATCTAGTGGTTCCCTTTGGGCTCTATAATGCTACACTTCATCACTGCCTCAGCTATGTCTAAAGTGAGACTCTGGTTAAGATGTAGTTTGACAAAACCTTTTAATTTTTCTTTTCATAATTTAGGTCACAGAAAATTTTAGTGTTCTCAAGGAGGAATCCCATTTTTACTGCTTGTGTTTGTGTGGCTTTAGTTGAGATATTTCCATTTCTGCTTAACTATTTGGAAAACATTCTTTCTACTCTTAAGATTTTTTTTTTTTTTTAGTTTTCCTGAATGTTAGAGTATGAATGTTTTAATAAATTTACTCAGTCTTACTATATTTGAAATTTGTTAGGCATACTGTATTCTAGGTAGTTTGTTTACTCAAGTTGTGCTTTATTACAGTTTATTCAAAGAGGCATCTGCCTTCAAGCAAAGATTTGCATAAATATTGAACATAAGAAAAAATAAAAAATGTTGATGGTCTGTTTTTTTCCTTAGTGAAGAGTGAGCTGCCTCACTAGGAATGTGATCTCTGTATAAAGCAGCGATGTTATCACAGTGGTAATTGTGTGCCTTTGTACTTGACTTTAATGCTAATTTAGAAAGATAATGAAATGTGATATATACTGTTCAATGTGAGAATTAATCATAAATAAAAATTGGTGAAAGTATCAAGAGAAAATTTTACTCTGGCATTGTTAAAACACTACAAAAATGTCAAGCAGTTTATTAAAATAGTTTGTGTTGGGATTTCTGTTTGTTTGTTTTTAAGACAAAATTTCTCTGGGTAGCCCTGGTTGTCTTGGAACTCAGAGATATACCTCCTCCTGCCTCCCCAGTGCTGGGATTAAAGGAGTGCACCACTACACCTGGCTAAAATGGTTACATTTTATTTGTGCTATTTTCATTTCATAGGAGTTTACATTCTTTACAAGCCACCTTTGGATTGGATTTGGTTTTAAATTAGCCACCATTGATCATCAGGGATCACTGACACTTTAACAGTTTATTTTAATTTTTCTTGAAAATTACAATCCAACCATATTAATAAATTGACAGTCCTTTCCAACATAGGATTTCTGTTTGTAGGAAGAATCAGGCCAATAATATAAGTACTTTGCTTTGTAATGGATGTTTCTTTCTATGTACTAGTGTTTGTAAGCAGAAGTATTTTTAAAAGTAGGATTTAAAAAGTAATTCTTATGCATTTTATATATGACTTTACTTCCTTATTATATGGTTCCTAGTCACCTTTTGTGATTACATACGTTACAAGATAATCTACATATGAAATTGGATGGTTTGTAAAAGTGAGTTTGCCATCCAAAGCATCTGAATTTGTTAATATGTAAACATATCCATACAATGAGATACTTTGTTTCCTTTTTTTCTCTTAGGATTCCAATGTCCCCAGCATTAGTAGATTGCCAACTCCCTCTTTACAGCACCCTAGCCAGTGTGAAGCTGGCATTGTCAAACCCATCCCAGATTACTGCAGCAGGATGGAGTTGTACTTTAGCTATGAGGTAAGTTCCCCCATGCTCATTTGACACTCACTGAGATGCAGTTTTTCATTTTACAATATTGTATAGTTTTGTAAGTTCATTTCTTTCCTCATATGATTCCTTAGGTTATTGGTGCATTATACTCAAACACTTAGAAAACTGCATAATATAATAAAGGATTTACCTTATGGCCATAGATAGCTTCTTTTAATAATATTCCCTATAGGGTCATTTAAAAATTCCATGGTTTGGTAGTTGAACATATAATACAAAGGGAGCTGGCAATCTGCAGATGCTGTGGACATTGGATGAGAAGCAATAAAAGGTAAGCTGCAAATTTAGACTGTTGGCTATTGTTTTTCTGTTGCATGCTTGAAATTCATTGTTCATGTTGAAGTTATAATCTGTTGTAATTTAAAAATACATATTACTCTTTGGGCTGGAAAGATGGCTCAGTGGTTAAGAGCAGTTGCTCTTGCAGAGAATCAGGTTCAATTCCCAGCATCCACATGGTGCTTGACAGCCACTGTAACTAGTTCCATGGGATCTGATGCCCTCTTCTGACCTTCTTGGGTATGAAATACATACATGGTGCACATATATACAAGCAAACAAAACACACATCAAATAAAATGAATAAATTCTTTTTAGAACTCCTCTATTTTCAGTAAAGTGCCCTTTAATGATAATATTAAATGTATATAATGCATTTAAATTTTATTTTAAAATTTTTTAATTCCTAAAAATGATCAGAATTGTGATGATAAAAAAGGTTAAAATTTCCTTGTGTTCACTTAACTTGTTTTAAAGTAATCAGAGTATATGCATAATTTATATTAAATATTAAACTAAATAGTTTTATTAATGATTTAGCACACTGTAGCATATAAGTGGTTGCCCCAAATACCAATCCTGTCTGTTGATCCATCTATCTGCCAGTTTGATTTTTAGTTCTGTAATCAGTACACATGAAGATTTTGCCTTTCTTAAAAATCAGTGAATTTTACATTAGTAAAGGTAAGGGAATGCACTGGTTTTACTCTTATTTTCCTTGTAAATACACTCTGTAGCCCAGGCTCACCTCAAACTTGCAGCAGTCCTCTTGCCTCTGACTCCAGAGTGCTAGGAATACAGCCTTGCGCCACCATGCCAGTTGTTGTTTTCCTTTGTTTTAATTTAGTTTTAAAATATGTCACTATTTTAATTACTATTATACTTTAAATTAACACAGTCTTTGGAGATTGTAACTTTTAACATTACAAGGGTATCTGCACAATGTAATCTATTTATATTTGTTTAGGAATTGGCTTTGTGGGGACCAGGAGAGACAGCATAGTGTTTGAGAAGGAGAGTAGATTTTAACATTTATGAGATCCAGAATTTTAGCCTGAAGTCAGTTCCATTTTACAAGTATTTCCTGAGAGTGATTTTAAGCCAGCTTTCTTCTAGAAAATTATGCCCTTTTAAGTTTTAATAAATTCATCTTGGAAGAAATAACAAAAATTGTTTTTTCTCATATCTGTGTTTTAATCAATGAAGTTGATTAGTTAGAAAAGCTGTTTCTGGCTTGTGATTACTTACTTATTTTAAACATCAATAAATATTTGTTGATTTGAAGTAAATTTTTATATTGAACCAAAGGTAAAGCAGATTGTTATTAACTCTAATTGCTTATTAAAAATGGATAACTTTTATGCTTTTTGTAATAGTTCCTCTGTACATTGTGAAAATGAGGTCACTAGTCAGTAGAAAGCAACAGTGTTAGGACTAAAGAGTTAGTTTGGGGGTAGAGTGCAAGGCTCAGGATTCAGTCCTTAGCACTGGTGGTGTGGGCCACAAGATGTCCTTATTGCATATTGATTGTAAGCATCATGTTTCATCCAGCTGGCACAGGAAGCTAAGTTCCCTCCCTGTTAAGTAGTTGAGTGAAAAGCCTTGCTTTAAACACCAATACAAGCAGTGATTCTGCCCTCTTAATCACTTCAAGACTATAGATTCGAATTCCCATGGCGGTGTATAAGGTTCCTTTCGCTGGAGTCATTATATTTTTTATACTTTTATACATTTTATTAATCTTCTATGATAGAAAACCATAGATATTTCAAAACATGTTAATGGGTAAGACAGGTATATGAAACTTATAAATCTGTTCTCTGATTAAACATTTGAGTTCCCTTGTGTATAGTCATAACAAGTCAAAGTGAGATCCTGTCTAAAACCAAGAGAAGTGTGGTTGCCCTACATGAATACTATTTCTTAATCCATTTCCTAGTTTTGTTTCATGGCTTAGAATAAGCACTTCATACTGTCTCACCAATTCTTTTGAGAAAAGTTTTAAATTTTGAGATACAACTCACTGCTTACTTTGGTCTGACTTGTGCTTTTCTTAGAATACATTTGGAAAGAAATAAGACTCTTTAATATGTTAGAGCAGTGTCTCTCAGTCTGTAGGTTATAAAACCTTGGGGTTCAAACAACCCTTTCATGGGGGTCACCTAAGACCATCTGCATATCAAACATTTACACTAGGAGTTATGAAATAGCAATGAAAATAATTTTATGGCTGGGGAGTCACCACAACATGAGGAACTAACTGTATTAAAGGGTCACGGCATTGGTACGTTTGAGAACCATTGTTTGGTAGGAAATAAAATTTTTCTTAAGTTGGGTGGTGGTGGAGCTCAGGAGGCAGAGACAGGTGGATCTTTGAGTTCAAGGCCAACCAGGACAGCCAGGGCTATACAAAGAAACCCTGCCTTGGGAGAGAGGTAGAGTTTTTCTGAAAATTTTCCTTAATACCATGATCTGACATCTTATTAAGATGCAAATTAAGGATGGAGAAATGGCCACAGTTGTTAATATGTGCTGCTCTTGCAGAAGACTGGATTCAGTTACCAGCACCTACATGGAAGTGCATAATTCCAGAACATTCAGCTCCTTCTTCAGGCTTTGTGTGCATTACATATGTGTGGTGCACTTACATTCATGTAGGCAAAAATACTCATACACATAAAATTAACCTTTTTTAAGACATGAATTAGCATAGGGTTAATATTTGGTGTGTCCACAGCATATAATCCTACATTTCTTACTCTTCTAATAAACAGTTCCCCTTTAAGATTAAAAAATCTCAGAAGAAATATAGCTCTTTGTGTTTATGTAAATACACATTCTGTGGCTTCCAAGTACTCTTTTGGTAAAGTATGCTATTAAGACTTTGGTGCTGGGTGGTGGTGGCACACACCTTTAATCCCAGCACTCGGGAGGCAGCGGCAGACTGATGTCTTTGAGTTCAAGGCCAGCTTGGTCTACAAAACTACACAGAGAAAATCTAAAAAAGAACCAACAGAAACAAAAAAAGACTTTGGGTTATAGAATTGTCATTTAAAATAGCAAAAGTTTTATGTGTATGTATGTAAAAAATTGGCAACTCTGTGTATAGCTCTAGGATATACTTTTGCTATAAATAGTAGCCTTACTAGTCTACATATGGGCAGACTGACTCAACAGCTGCTTATAGGATGAAGTCTGATTTTATGTGTGTTAAATGTGAACAATAATAAATGTGTGTCTTTTGTTAGAAATAATACATATGGACTATATGATACAAGATATTTCCTCCTTTTGTAAATTCCTGTTTTAGTTGCTTCTTTGTGCTAGAAACTGTTAAAATAATTATAACACCTCATTTATGGATGGATGGATGGACGGACGGACAGACGGACGGACGGATGGATGGATGGTAGACAGACAGAAAGTACCTGTAATACTAGCAAATGGGAGGGACACCAGTAATAATTATAGTGTAGTATAGGTTTTAAAAAGCCATAGTATGTAGGTTTTAAAAAGCCGTAGATTGGGCTTGGGAAGGTAACTCATTGGTACAAATGCTTGCTATAGAAGCAGGAGAGCTTGTGTCCTAATATCCTCTGGTTTCTACATCCTCATGCCTATACAGTCACACTTATATCACCACACAGAAAATAAAACAGTTAACTGTTTTAATTTTTTTCTATGCTAGAAACTGCTAAAATTATTGTAACAATTCTTAAGGAAGTTTGTTAAGAGTCTTTTTTTTTTTTTTTACCCCCCTCTCTTAGAAGTTGCAAAAAACTTTACTTCATGAGCTATGTCTACTTATTTGGTGAATTTATTTAAATATCTGTACCTTTACATGATTTTGTTTGTTTGTTTGTGGGTGTGTCTGTCCGTCTCCTATCGTGCCCCCCCCACTGGACATCAAACCCAAGACTACATACATTTGGTAAATGATTTATTAAGATATTTACAATTGACAATTAGACTATTTTTAATATGTATTTCCTACTTAGATGGTAAACATTGGGATTTCTCCTGTAGAACTGAGATCACTAAACATACTCAGATTTCTTACAAGATATTTCCTTCTTTTGTAAACTCCTGTGAAAGAAATACTTTTGATGATACTGGCATTTTGTTACTTTTTTATTAGAGGCTAAAACTTGGTTGATACTGATTTTAGGTTAAGTCTTAGAAATTTATTTTTTGAAACTTATGTTTCTAGGGCAAATGGTACCATCGGAGGCAAGCTGTAAAAGAATTGCATAGTACACTGGTACGCCTTTTAAATGAATTGCTGCCATGGGAACCAAAGTTAATGAAGGCTTTTCAGAGAAACAGGTAACAAGCTTTATGATGTATTTATTTAACTTATTCTAAGACCCCTATTTTATGATTTGGGGTTTTTCCATTCATTTGTAATTCAGCAAATACAAAACCATATTCTCTGTGATTTGCTTTCTAATGGAAGAAGCATATGGATTCAAATATGATAACTGCTAGTGGGCAGGATCCTGATGGAGGGGATGTGACATTCCTGTTTGAGACTGTGGAGGCTACTCCTAAAAAAAATGAAGTGCATACTGGCGGGAAAATGAAATAGAAGGGCACACTCTAAGTGTATTTGGCATTTGGAGGAAGCACTAAGAGTCAGTTAAAATCAAAGAAAAATGATTGATGAAGACTGAGGTAGGACATAAAGATCAGAGGTCCAGGTAGCCATATCAGGTAGGACTTAATCTTTTAAGAATTTACATGGACCAGGATAAAAAGCTTTTGAAAGGTTTTACAGAGACAGGATGTTATCTACCGTGTTTCTGTTGTTTGCTTGCTTGTGTGCTTACAATGCTGAGGCTTGAATCCAGAGTTTTATGCATGGCTAAGTAAATACCACTGAGCTATTTCTCTAACCTTAATGTTTTGTTTTGTCTTGTTAATTTTTTCTGGTTATAATTGATTTATACTTATGTTTACCGTGAAGCACATGTGGAGGTCAGGAACAATCTGCAGGAAACTGGTTCTTTCCTTTTTCTGTGTGGGTCTTGGTAGCAGGCACTATTATCCATTTGAACCATCACTGAGGCCATCTGGCCTGAAGTTTTAAAGTGCTTGCTCTAGCTGCCATGTTGAAATCGCTGTAAAGATGAAAGAAGATAAATTACACTGTGGTAGTTACACTGAAAAAAGTGGGAGTAGATTGTAGTATTGCACATGACATGAAGTGGTTGGATTTTAGATATAGCTTCACAATAGGCTTCGTAAAATTTATGGAGTATGTGGTGGGTTAATCCTATCTCCAGCTTGATAAGATTTAAAAACAGTATGGGGCGTGTCTCTATGGCATTTCTTAGATTAGTTTATGGAGGGAGGAAGGCCTGGGGCCCTGGACTGAACAAAAAAGAGAAGGTAGCTGAGCTGCAGCATTTGTCTGTTTCCTGACTGCATGCATTGAAAACAGTCACTTAACCCATAATGTACCCTCAGACTAAAATAAATATACCCCTACCATCCGTCAGTTGCTTCTGTCGAGGTATTTTATACCAGCAGTTAATGAAGTAGCTAATATGTGATAGAAATTAATGAGTAAAAATTAATTTTTGGTCTAAACAGTTATCATCATAGATTTCCATTAATGGAGACAGGAGTGACTGAAAGAGAATCAGGTTTGAGGAATACCAGGGATTGAATAGTTTGGATTTAAACATGTTAAGTTTGATATACTTTCTAGACACCTAATTGGTGGTGTTGAGTAGGCATTGTGTGAGTTATATAAGTAATTCAGTAGCTTTCTAGACTTGATGTACAAATTTAGGAGTTATCAACATTGATGATATTTAAAGCCGTAAGATTAGTAGAAATTGTGTGGACAGTGGACATTCCAACATTCAGAAGTGAGGTAGCAGTACTTGGGAGGTGGAGGCAGGCAGATCTCTGTGAGTGTGCCAGCCTGGTCTACAGCGTGAGAGCCAGGTCACCTTTTTTTTTTTTTTTTTTTTTTTTTTTTTTTTTAAGTCAAGCATGTGTGTGACATGCAGATTCCTGAGACTTACTGGCCAGTGTACTTAGTGAGCCCCAGGCCATCAACTCAGGACTCATTTTTCAATTCAAATAGAGAATTTTAGTTATTTGTTTTCCTTAATAATTATAACTAACTACAACCCTCAGAAAGACAAATGGATGGTGTATTCAATTTTAATTCACATTTTTTTTTTCTGAGACAGGTTTCACGGTATAGCTTTGGCTGTCCTGGAACTTGATTTGCAGACCAGGCTGGCCTCGAACTCACAGAATCCTCCCGTCTCTGCCTCCCGAGTGTTGGGATTAAAGGCGTGTACTACCACCACCCAGCTTATTCACAAATTTTAAGATATAACCTTTAATTTCTTAAGCATATATCGTAAGTTTTGTCTTCTTGGGCAATTAATAATTGGCAAGACTAAATTAGTAGGCATTTTAAATACACTTAAAACATAATTTAATGACAATTGAAAATATTTCAACATTTAACTTAGTATGCTAACTAACTTAGCTTCCAAAAAGTTCCACATTACATTGGTTATTTCAGAAGCCGCCTGAAGAAAGACTATGATGATTTCCGAAGACAACCTGATCATGGTCAGTTCACTAGAGAGCTATGGACTACTGAAGAATGTGAAGGGAACCCTGAGAGAGAGCCTCCTACAGCAGAAATCAGTAAGTCTGTAGATGCCGCAGAACCTCTAGACAACCTGGAGAAAGAACACGTGGATTCTGGTAGGCATTCAAACTTTTCAAATATAAGCACAAAGAGAACTTTCTGTTTGTTGTGAAGGCAAAAGGTAATTGGGTCAGTGAATGTTGATTAAGGAAACTGATAATTTACAGAAATACTGTCCATATTCTTGTATACAATTTCTTGGCAGTCATTATTAAATTTCTAAGAGGTTTTGAAGCCAGTGCTTAACCCTAAATTATATATGTATTGCAGACCATACACTGCTTATCAGTTACGCATTTGGAATTCACTGATTATCTTTTTATTGTTACTACTTTTAAAGCTCTGTTGGTAAAGTTTGCTGCAAATGAATATGAGAAACCCTTAAGATTGTGAAAGGTTTTTAAAGTGAGGTGTGACTGAGGTTGATGGCTGACTGAGAGCAAAATAAACACATCATTCTAATAAGTATGGGTAGCTAGACCAAGTTACATGCGATTCATTTCTGCTCATCAGTGGCATTCGTTAGTTATATAAGAAGTTAATCTGAACACTTGTGGTTAGTAATATGTTAACAGATTTCATATCTCTTGTGAATTGTAAGAGTGAACTTCCTTTGACCAGATATGACGACAATTGTTTAAGGATAAAAAAAAAACAGGAAAGGCTGAACATTGGTTTTCATTTTCAGTCTCTAAAGATCAAAATATAGAATAGTAACCATTCCTCTATGGCGTAAAGGTTTCCCTATCTAGAGAAAGAAAACTAGCCAGATTAAGCTGTGTATCTTTTTAGAAACTGAGTTTTTCCTCAGCACTTATGCCTTGGCAGCAGTCTTAGTCCAGGATTGATTTCAGTAATAGGTTGATCTTAAGCATAGCTGGGATGTGGGAAGTGAGCATGTCAGAGGTCACTGCTACCTTCATCGGTAGTGCTGAAGCTTTGGGATGACTGTGCAGTAGATTTTTTAAATTGCCTGTTCAGAAATTGACTTTAATTTTTATAATTGGTGTTACTCAAAAACTGTTTTCTATAAACAAAATGCTTGTTTTTATAATTTTCAGATGATATGAAATTGTCAGAAATAGGCTATCCTTTGGCCAGAAGCAAGTTGTTGAAAAAAGAATTGTCTTCTAAAGATGTAGTGAAGACACTGCCTAAAACACTTAAACGACAGTCTAAACAAAGCAGTTATCTGGATGATAGCACAAAGGAGCTTTCCCCAAGGAAGAAAGCAAAGCTAAGCACAAATGAGACATCAGTTGAGAACTTGGAAGTTGATATGCAGATTGACTGTTTGAATGAGTCAAAACATACAGAACTGCCATTTTTGGAGTCATTTGCCTCAAAGGATTCAGTACCAGTGTCTACTCTCCAGAAAGGGACCAAACCTATTCAGGCCTTGCTTGCAAAGAATATTGGGAACAAAGTGACCTTAACAAATCAACTGCCCCCTTCCACAGGTAGAAGTGTTCCTGCTGTGGAAAAGCCAGCTCTGTCTCCTTCAGAAACAAGCCCCATAAAGCCAGCATTGAGCTGCCTTGCCGGTACAAAAGGACCTTTACAGATGGTATACAAAATGCCCTGTGGTCAGTGGCTGCCAGTAGACCTTCACAATAGTTCTGTCAAGATTCAGATGCAGCCTGTGGTGGATTCTAAAACAGGAGAAAAGATCATGCAGCAAGTCCTAATTCTGCCTAAGAATTTTGTGATTCAGCACAAAGAGGGAAAAGCAGTTGCAAAAGAGCTAGCAGCACCTCAGCAGAAGGGTGCAGAGCAATGTTCCTTAGTGTCTGTTCCTGTCACCTCAGGAGGGACAGTTTCTACCCAACTGCCTAATACAGTTTTTAGTAAGACAATTACACCTTCATCAAATATGAGTGCTAGATCACAGCCTTTGTCACCTGTAACCTCTGTAAATAATGTATTAGCATCACCCGTTAAGACTAGCCAAAGTGAAGCAGGGAAAGTCAAGAATGCAGTTTCGTCAGCCACATTCCCCCAGCCTATTACTTCACCCACCATTTCCTCAACAGTTCAGCCTCTGTTACCAGCAACAACACTAAATGAATCTACAGATCCTGGCACTTCCCTCACCTGTTTTTCACAGCAAACTGTTGATTCTTCTGAGGCAAAGCAAGAACTAAAAACTGTATGTATAAGAGATTCACAGTCGATTCTTGTTAGGACTCGAGGTGGGAACACTGGAGTTGTAAAGGTACAAACTAATCCAGAACAAAATTCACCCAACAGTTTATCTTCAAGTTCTGCTTTCACCTTTGCACCTCAACTTCAGGCATTTCTGGTGCCGAAATCAACATCATCCCCTGCTTTTTCACAAGGAGCTGGAATGACTACTACATCTACTCCCCCATCTTTCAGCCAAACACCTACTTGTGTTTCTATTTCATGTGGCTTTCATCCATCCGTGGGGAAAAATCTCAAACCTATGTTAGGCCAACCCTCCAGCAGTGGCTATGTGGGCCCAATAATAGAAAAAGCCTCATGCATGCCCTCTTCACCCATGAAACCCTCCATTTCTTCCAGCTCAATGCTACCATCAACAACAAATAGTTCAGTTAGTGTAATTAGCTTATCAACAGGAAATTTCGGACAAACCAATACAAATGTTATTCAGACATCAAGCAAAGCGCAACAAGTAGATTATTTCACAAAAAGTTACCAAGTTACAAGATCAGAAGCAACGACAGCAATAAATGGAGATGTACTCAGTGAGACTCCTGTTCAGAAACTCATGCTAGTGCCAAGTCCATCTGTTCTTCCTAGCAGTGCTCCTTCAGTTAATATGGCGCCAGTACCAACATCTACAAGTGTTTCTACCCAGAAAGTTGTTTTTATTAACGCTCCTGTTCCTAGTGGCACTGCAGCCTCAGCTATTGTTGCAGAATCATTAAAACAGACACTTCCTCCTCCCTTGAATAAAACTTATGTTAAGACTCCAGAGCAACCCCAAATAGTACTAATTCCGTCTACATTGGGAGCACCAATAAAAATCAATTCTTCACCAACTGTGTCTCAGATTAAAGATGTGAAAATCGGGCTAAACATAGGTCAAGCAATTATAAACCCTCCAGGAAATCTGCCAGCTATATCATCAGTTAATATATTGCAAAGTGTAATGCCAAAAGAAGACAAAAGTAGTAAGGGCTATGTTTCGCCCATGTCAACAAGTGGTAACTCAGTCCTAGCAAGCTCAAGTATTGTGAGTCAAAATCTTCCTTCTGTTAATGAGTCAGTGGTTTCTACAACAAGAGCTGCAAACATGTTTTCAGGAACAGGAACAAATGTACCTTTGAGTTCCCTTTCAGTGACCTCATCCTCAGCTTCATCTGTGACTCGACCTCCTGTTTTAGTCAGTGGAACTGACTCCTCTTCAAGAATTATGCCTGTTTTGTCAAATAGACTTTGCACATCAAATCTTGGAAACACTGTAGCTATATCAACTGTGAAAACAGGACACCTTGCATCATCTGTTCTCATTTCAACTACACAACCAACAGTGTCTCCTAAACCTTTGACATCAGCATTGCAAATCCCTGTTACTGTTGCCCTGCCTACACCTGTGACTACATCTCCAAAAATAATCAACACAGCTACACATTCAGCAACAGTACCAGGAGCCACACACCCTGTATCTCTTTCCAAAAGACAGTCTCGGACTTCTCTCCAGTTTCAGTCGCCAGGGACTTCAACTACAGTGCCAACAAATGCAAACACAAATAAACCTCAAACTGAATTATCATCTCTCTCACCAAGTCCAGGTAAAATAATTAATACTTCCAACGTTACTTCTATACCAAACCAGCTTATGTCCCCTTCATTAGTAAAAACAACTTCTGGTAACAATTCTACTGCAGGTGGCTCTGCCATTCACACTGGTACACCACCATTAAATATAACTAGTGTGGCAGGTGCTTCGTTCAGTGAACCTTGTGTTCAGCAAAAAATAGTTATCAATACCAGTACACCTTTGGCACCAGGTACTCAAATCATGATGAATGGAGCCCGGTTTATTGTTCCACCACAAGGTCTTGGAGCAGGTAGCCACATCCTCCTTATCTCTACTAATCCAAAATATGGACCTCCCTTAGTACTTAACAATGCCCAAGGTTTACCGGCAACACCAGTAGATAATCCTGTCCAGAAGATCATACAGACATCAAATCATTCTCTAAGTGGTCAGCCTTTAAAGCCTTCTGTAAGAAACTCTACAAAGATTGTAAACTGTCTGGGAAGTCCAAGTTCTCTCTCTGCAGTATATTCAACACCACAGATGGTAAACACACCTGCTAAAGTTTATGTCCCACCCGCACCAACGGTGCCATTGACTTCAGTGATTAAATCCTCTCCAGCTACTCTTTTGGCAAAGACATCATTGGTTTCTGCCATTTCTTCCAATAATCCTCCACTGCCAAGTAGCACATCGGTATTTCATTTAGATACCTCTGTCAAAAAGTTACTGGTTAGCCCAGAAGGAGCCATTTTAAATACCATAAATACTCCAGCATCTAAGGTATCTTCATTGTCTCCATCTCTTCCTCAAGTTGTTGTATCTGCTAGTCAAAATCCTGCCTCTGTCTTCCCTGCTTTTCAATCATCTGGTTCAGAGAAACCTGACAAAGCTGCATCTTGAAGTTAGACAAATGGAGCCAGTTTTTAAATAATGGGGCATTGTTTTAACTCCCATAAAAATTTTAACTGTTTATTATACTGTTGAAAACATATTGTTCATACTGTGTGTCTGTGTGTGTGTCTGTGTGTGTGTCTGTGTGTGTGTGTGTGGGTGTGTGGGTGTGTGGGTGTGTGTGTATCTTCATTAGCTTGCACAAGACTTTGTTTTCTTGGGGAGGGCAAAATATACCATTTCACTCATTGTTGTGAAGATGTTTTCCAAGATTCTTTGTTCAAAATATGTCATCAAAATTTACCTGTCTATATAACATAAATTGAACAAAGTCGTTTGACTAGTTTAAGTAAGCTAGCCTTTTCATAATTATATTGATGTTTCTTCTTAAATTTGGACTGTTGTGGTGTATCTACAGTATAGTATTCTGTGTCATTAGTGACATCTTATTTTTGTTTCTGTAAAAATATATATAGATATATATATTTATGCATTAAGAAAATGCAGTCCATGGTGTAAAATTGTACATATTCCTTAAATCCCTAATAATCTGTACTAAATATATGTACAAAGAACAATACTGTCTTATTTATGTTTTGTTTACATAATGTATAGTTTTTTAAGTATTTTAGTAATTTTGGACCAGTGAACTGTTAGCAACAATGCAGAAGAATCTGCATATAATAAAACTGAGTTGCTGTATTTCTTTGTTTGAATACCATTTTTAAAATGTGTTCTTGTCTATTGGAAGAATACATGATACAAATGAAAACAATCCTTTAAAAATGTGTTAAAATTGGGAAGTATATGGAAATAATAGCACTTGCACAGGCTTTATACTTACCAGAGCTTCCTTTCATGTATCTCATTTGATTTCCACAGTAATCTTGGGAGCTGAGTGGTCCGTCCACACTTACCTGGTTCATGGGGAGCAGAGCCAGGGCATGAATCTGATGCTTCACACACTCTCCTTAGTTGTGCTTTACTTTTGTTTTGAAGTTTTCATTCAAAATTTTATGGTTCCAGACATTAAAGAAAAAAAAATAGGAAAAAAAAACAAAACACCAAATTCTGTATTGACCAGAACAAATGTGTGTTGTTTTCAGATAAGAATATTTGGTTTATGTCTATACATCCAAAACATGTTTCTTAAAATTTTTTTAAGTTTCTTTATGACCCTAAGTAGGCCTGGAACTTTCCATATAGCCCAAGCTGGCCTTGCCTCAGCCTCCTGAGTGTACCAGGATTATAGACAAATACTGCCATGCCTTGCAAGACTTACTTTGTAATAATCTGGGTTCATAAGAGGTTGCAAAAGCAATGAAGAGTGGTGGTGTTACCCTTCACCTTCCTTCTCCACATTTCTATTTAAATTGAGGTCTTGGTTCACTGTTACTGATCTTCCAAAATTATGTTTAAGTACATGAATTTTTGTCATTTGAAATTAAAAGTGAGCAAAAATATTAGTGCTCTTTCTCCTTTTACTCAGATTATAGAGCAACTGCATAAATTGTAATAAGCCGATTCTGTTGCTCAGTTGGTTTGACTCAGGGCTTGACTTTGTAGAGCTTGAGAATGTGCCTCGTTGTAAATAAAAGGTAGCTTTGTACTTACTGGAGCTTTATTATCTTCTTATCTTATTAAGATACTGATATATACATTCAACTTAAAATATTAAGCCTCATCACAGCGTTCCTCTCTAAAATTTAAAATATTAGAAAGAGTAGGCTTAGGCCTATTCGATAGCTCAGTGGATAAGGGTGTTTGCCACCAAACCAGAAGACCTGAGTTCAGTCCCCATGTCCCACTTGATCAAAGGAAAGAACAGGCTTAAGCAAGTTGCTCACTGACCTCTACACACACACACACACACACACACACACACACACACAAAATACTATCTTAAGATATTTTTCATTATTTAAAAAACAAAGGAAAGAGCTAGAGAGATGACTCAGTGGTTGAGAGCACTTGCTCTTCCAGAGAACCTGGGTTCACTTCTACCCATACCCAACAGCTCACAACTGCCTGTAACTCTAGCTCCAGGGGATCCAATAACCTCCTGTGGCCTCTGTAGGTACTCCCACAGCATGCACACCCACATACATAAATAGAAGAGAAAAAGAGGAGGCCTAAAGATTTCCATTCAGATTATATCAAAATGATGTGATTAAAGTGGAAAGAGTAATGAATGTTCCTAAAATGTTGCTCAGATTTCTCAAACAATTGTTTTATATTGAAGACCTAACTCAATGGTAGTGTGTTTGCCTAATTTGTACAAGGTAATGGGTTCTACCCCTGGTAGCACAAAAGAGGGGGAGTCGAGTGAGAGAGGAAAGGGTTGGAAGAAAAAAAGATTATTTGGTTTGGAAGGGGAAATAATGGAACTGTGTTTGTCAGTGTAGGTTAGGCTGGCTCCAAACCCGCCATCTATACTACCTCAGTGCAATGATACAGACACACACCGCTACTCCCACCATCTCAAAATCTGTATTCATGCTCTAAGACAGTGCCTTCACCAGTGTGCCTCTGGTCTACTCAATCACCCACTCCTCCCCTTCCCCATTTCCCTATCAGTATTTAAAAAACAAAACTTGGTTTTTAAGAGATGTGCTGTGGGTGATGTTTAAAATGTATTGTAGGGGGCTGGAGAGATGGCTCAGTGGTGAAGAGCACTAGCTTCTCTTACAGAGGACCTGGGTTCAGTTCCAAGCACTCACATGGCAGCTCACAACTGTCATGTGACACTCTCACACAGGAAAACACCAATGCGTAAAAAATTGTGTGTGTGTGTGTCATTTAGATGAATAAAACTGAGGTACATGAAGCTTGTCTCTAAAAAATAAAAAGCAGCCTGACTCAGTCCTCAGTTTCGGAAATTTTCTCAGACTCTGATCTTCACAGTCTCTGATTCACATCCTTACATTGTTCAATTTTATTTCAATTTCCCATGCTTTTTTTTTTTTTTACTCACAGTTTTAAGTTTTCTTAAAAATGATTTCTACCTAAAATTCTTATGACAGATTTAAGACAGTTTTTTGGGGGGGGGCAGTATTTGTTTGGTTTTGGTTTCTCAAGACAGGATTTCTCTGTACCTTTCGGAGACTGCCCTGGAACTCAGTAGACCAGGTTGGCCTCAAACTGCCAAAGATCTGCCTGTCTCTGCCTGCCGAGTGCTGGGATTAAAGGTGTGCCACCACCGCCACCCGCCTAGGCTACACCTCATAGATAAGATGGTATTACTTGTTCACGATATTTGGCTAATTGGAAAGGACTATTCTCAGTCAGAGGAAACTAGTCATGAGTTCTGGCTACTCTAGTCCCCACCTGGCTCTCAGAAAACAAGCAGCAAGGTACCCTGAACCCTTCTCTGCCATAAGTTGAGCACACTGGTGGTGGCTTGATGTAGGTTCAGTTTTCTTTATCAGTGGATACCCAATCCTACAGTGATGACAAGGATCTCCCTCTCTGGGGCTGTTTGTTCCTTGCCTTTTCAGTCTAGGCAGCAAAGGCCTTGAAGCACCAAATTCAGAGCCTCAACATTCACTGCTAATGGTCGTTAGTGTCCTAGCACCCATGGATTTTTCTGCAAAGCTGTTTCCTTATTCGGTGTGAGCATTCCAGGTGGGGTAGACTCCTTTCTTGTTATCAGACAGCTAACATCATGTGGCACTTAGCAAAGGGTTCCCAAGGTTGCCTGCAATTGATTGTCAGTCCAAGCAGTGGTCTTCAGAAGTAGGGCTAAATTTTAACACCTCCTATTCCTTTCATCGAACACTGATTTCTCGATGGTGGACTCAGGCCAAGCCTGTTGTCTGTCATCCAGGACACTCAATGAAGGACACTTGAGAAGCTTTTCTGGTGAAAAAGAGATTTGTCGGATTCTTAACAGCGTGGGAGGATCGGAGAGGCCTGGAGATCAAGCCAGAGGCCCCTCTGAAGGGGGCGGGTGGCAAAATGCATACATTTGAAAGGAGAATGGGGCTATTTTAAATGACGTAAGTCAGGAAAAACATAAATATTTTTTAGTATCATTGAATGTCATTTCTGTGTGTATGTTTAATCCCTTTAATCTTGTCTTTGGTAGAAATGTTCCTGTTGATGTTATGCTTCTGTCTCTAGTGACAAAAGGTATCTTAGGTGATTTATTGACAGCATTAAATAAGAAAGAATCACATAGTGAAAAAGACATTTAAACAGCATTGAGTTTTCTCTGAGTCTTAGTAATAATGTCTCTAACAAAGAAAGCCCAACCTGCTTTCTTATGGCACCACCCAAGGTAGGCTGGGCTCTCGCCACCAATCACTGATTTTTAAAAATGCCTTACAGACTTGCCTACAACCCAGTCTTCTGAAGGTGTTTTCTCAGTTGAGGTTTCCTCCTCTCAGATGACTTTAGCTTGTGTCAAGTTGACAAACTATCTAACACAGGAAGAGAGCAGGCTTTGAGATCTGAAGAGGAACTTCATTGGGAGATAGCTGCCATGTAGAGCCATTTAAATCCCCAGGATAGAGGTTTCTGAGTTCAGGGAGGTGATAAGTTCTGCACCATGTGACTTAGCCTGGGCAGATATGTACTGGGGGACACCGTCACTGGGTCGGATCAGAAGTTTATCTTGCTGTTGCAAGAGGAAGAGATGGGCTTGCTTCTACACTGAGGCCTGAGTAAAATCACCTGTCAGTTTTTTATCCTGGAAGGTCACATGGGGATAGCCTGAGTTCTGGCAGAAAGGGAGAAGCCAGCTAGAGGATCTCTAATCTAAAAGGGTGATCATAGAAATTATGGCCCAAGTTTTGTTTCATAATAGACTAGGGCTATAAATCAGGTGGTAGAGTGCTTGGCTAGCATGCACAAGTCCAAAGTTCGGTCCCCAGCACTACACGAACAGCCTGAGGTCCTAGCACTTGGAAGGTGGAGGCAACAGTGCCAGCCTAGTCACGAGCTATATGAGCCCTCATCTCAATAATGAGCTAATCAAAAAATACCAGGTAATTGGTACATGGATATGACAAAGTCACACTAAGTGAATAATGCCACTAGAGAGTCTCTGCCCCTTTGTATTTATTCTGTATGTTCTTGTAAGACAGAGAACTCAAAACTACAGGCCATCAGGGATATGGCTCAGTGAGTAGACGTGCTTGCTACCAAGCCTGATGACCTGAGTTTGGATCTCTGAACCCTCATAAAAACCCAGGTGTGGTAGTGTGTGTGCATCTGTAACCCCAACATTCCACAGAGAGATGGGAGGTGGAGACAACTGACTGGAAGCTCACAGTTGAGCTAGCCTATAGTATGCATGCAGTGTAGTGACGGAAACAATAAACCCTGCTTTTCATTGTCATCAGGACCCACAACAGTGCACAGACATCAACCAAACTAAAGTTGCTTTTACTTTTTTAAATCCTTGCACCACTTTCGAGCTTAACAGAAAATTAATTTACCATTTTTTATGAGTGTTGAAGTGAAAATACAATTACGGGGCTGGAGAGATGGCTCAGAGGTTAAGAGCACTGACTGCTCTTCCAGAGGTCCTGAGTTCAATTCCCAGCAACCACATGGTGGCTCACAACTATCCCTTATAAGATGTGGTGCCCTCTTCTGGTGTGCAGATATACATGGACGCAGAATGTTGTGTACATGATTAAAAACAAAATCTTCAAAAAGAAAATACAATTATGACTAATATGTATGGTTTAAGGTACAGGCTTTTAGTAACACTACGTAGGTTTTATGTACGTTGTACACACACACATATACATGTAAACGTATATGTATGCAAGTGTAAGGATAATTACAGAAAAAAGGTCATGAATTTGAGAGTGTGGAGGAGGGACATGGGAGGAGTCACGCAGTAAACCCTTTTATCCATACCTCTTGACTTTGGAGTGTTCATTGTGGCACCAGGCAGTTAGGCACTAATTCACTATTATGTTGAGCAAATGTTTGGTGTGGTATGGGAAGCAGAGAGACAGAATGATTCGTGTCCTGTGGACAGAGGCATATCTGAAGAGACCAAAGAGGTCACAAGTGGGCTGACGTGGATGGCTGATTGCCACCCAGGGCCATGGCATTATCTGGGCCCGGGCTGCTGCTGGGACCTATGCCTGGGTTTGTGACTCTGATGCAGCCACAGTCTCTGTTGAAGTTCATGGCTCCTGATACCACCAAAGGCTGAGAAGACAGGGCTGCACAGAGTGGTCCCGCCCCTCACTGGCTGCAAACACTAGGGAGAGCTGGTCCTTCCCCTCACCAACTGAAGCACTCAGGAGAGAGTACCTGAGCTGGTAAGGGGCAGCATAATAGAGCTGAAGCTTGGGTGTGGGGAACATGGGGGAGCTGGCCCTGAAGTCGTGAGAATGGGAGAGCAGGTGGCTCCCATCTTGTGTGCCATATGGTGGTGAGGGCGAGGGAAAGATACCCTCTCCCCCTTGCCACTGCCACCTGTGGTGGATGAGGGAGCTGACCCTCCTCCTTACCAGCCGTGCCTAACCTGGGCATCATAGAGCTGACCCTATTGATTTGGTGGTGTGGGTGTGGGCAGGATAGATTCCCTCTCCCCCTGCCCCTCACCAATTGTAGCACCTAGGAGAGTGGCCTCTAGAGCTGGCTCTGATGGTGTAGGTGTGGAGAGTCTACCTGAGGACATGAAAGCAGGAGAACTGGTCCTGCTCCTTGCTCCTTGAGAGGAGGGTGAACTAGCCAGAACAATACTGGAGAGCTCACCCTGGTGTGAGGATGAGAAGAGCTGGCAGGCTGACCAACCCTGCAACTACCGAGGCCCCAGAACTAGGGTTATGAATTGGCCCACCCCAATATCCACCCCATCTATTATCTGCTGGAGCTCATGAAGGGGTCAGTCCTGCAGATCCAAAGCTGCAGGATCTCCACGACACAGGGCAACAACAGGATTTCCAAGAGGGATCCTAGTGGGGCCCTAGTATTGATAGTGTAACAGAAACCAGAGACCTCGGACCAGACCAATGACTTTTTGCAATAAACACTTGAAAGTAAAGATATATGGATAAAAGGGTTTACTGTGCAACTCACTGTGTCATGCTACAGCTTCCACGACAAGACTTTTTTCCCCTTTCCCCCCTTTTTTTCTCTTAAATTTTATTTTATTGGGGAAGAGGCTTGCAAAGGCAGAGAGTGGACACAAGGGGTAGGAAATGAATGGACTCGAGATGCATGATGTGAAAGACACAAAGAAATAAAAAGAAAATTTTAAAAATCTTTTCACAAAGAAATCAGATGCTCCCAGGTCATCCGTGTAAGTTCTCCCCTCAACGATGCTGATGGCTTAATAGCATCACTTCCAGGACAGATAACATGCATTAAAGTGTTTATTGAAGCATTTCCCAGGTTCCTGTTTCTCACCATTCCTCTGTGTTCCTCTGGTTGCCCTGGCAAGAATTTAGCACTGGCCTGTTAGTAGATTTGCACATCGTGTAGCATTCTAAAGAAAAACATGGGCGTGCACCAGCCTTAAAGCAAAAGTGGGAGAGGAATCATCTCAGCATTCTCAGACGCTTGTTGCTGGTGCTCAGGGTGAATACGGTGGTGGCAACTGGTCCGAAGAGAGCTTCTCATAGGCAGGTGGAGCATTGGGAACCTGTGAAGATGAGGCAGGGGGAGTGAGTGTGTGTGTTGTGGGGATGAGGCAATGCAGTTTGCAAAATCTTCATACATGTTTCTTGTCCAATGGGAGTAATTGGTAAGTTTCACAGCGCATATTTTGAAACGGTGGTGGGAAGGGGAAACAAGAGATGAGAGGCTTTCCAAAAATCTAAAAGTGGATTTATGCCTAGATTATCCATGTCAGAATTGCCAAGTCCTAACTAGAGGATTCTTTTTTCATTTGTTTACCTTATTTACTTACTTTGTTTATGGGGGCAGCACCTATGCCACAGCACACATGTGCTTGCTAGAGAATAACTTGAGGAATTGGTTCTCTCCTGTTACCAGGGAGGGCCCAGGGATCAAACTCAAAGTTGTCAAGTTGGACAGCAGGTACCCACTGAAGCACCCCACTCACCCATGTATCCTTAAAGGCGTATTTAGGGCTGGGGGGAGGGGCAGCTCAATGATAGACATCATACAAAGACAAAACCATGGAGGTTGGAGAGACATATTTATCTCGCAACTGAACACAATGTATCAATCATTCAGTTAATGCTCACAATTCTAGATGTTGCCAAGTGGAAAATGAGACAGAAAAGTCACTAGCCCTAGGTCACAAACAGTAAGTCATAGAGCTAAGACTCAAGCACCGTTAACCTGACTTGAGAATCAATGTCCATTACTTAGCTCTGCTTAACTATTGGGCCACTGCTATAGAGCAGAAATGCAAAACTCAAATTCCTAGTAATGTCACCTTCAGAAAGCAGGTAATTTAGATAAAATACTTAACTTGGGTCAAAATAGTCATTTCAACATGAAATCAAAAGAAGCCCGAAATGGCTCTATTATTTTCACATATTCTGTCTCTGAAATGTATGCTACAAAACTATTTTCAAACTACTGTGTTTCAAGTGTTCAACACATGGTAGTGGCTCAGTTCTAGAGAAGAAAATATCCCTGGGACTCTTACTTGTAGGGCTCTCATTATTGGCTGTAAAATCTAAATATAAGAAGATACAACTTAACAAAACCTGTTTCCCATTTTGTTTGCTTTTATTATAAAATATACAAAACAACAATTACCATTTTTACCTTTATGGAGGAGGGGCAGTTGTGTGGATTGAATCTAGGCCCTCATGCAGGCAAAGCAAGTGTTCTACCACTGAGCTACAATCCCAGCCCTACTTTTGATCATTAATGGCCAGTTAAGAGTTCTGTGACATTAAATATATTCACATTGCTTTTCCGATGGAAATCACTTGGTTCACTGGAGCTGAAAGCAGCTGACATGAAAATGCCCAGTGCACCATCTCCACCTACCACAGGCTGATGGGTTTTTTCTTGAAAAGGCAGTGGGCTATCCTGAAGACCAAGACCATCACATGAGCATTGCTCACCAGGGCAGCTTTCCTTCCGGGGACTCCGGGGACCTGCATGAAGCCTTTTGTCCTGAAATATAGTCATAAGAACAAAAAACAAAACAAACAAAGACAAATAAGAACCGAGTCCATTAAAGAAAAGAGAAAGGGAATGACGTTTTAGAAATGGGCTTTAAACTAGTTGCTGTCACATACTTGCTGGTTCCTCAGGCCACTCCCTTTACCTCTGTGAATGCCAGTTGTTACATCTGGAGTAGTAAGATGGTTAGACCCACTTCTCAGAGTTGTTGGAACTAACTAAAGACAGTGCCAAGGCAGTGCCTGGCATCAGCTGTCCCTCACTGGGAAATTTTGAAGAGAAGGGGAAGACTGAATCTACAAAATGAACAATTCGTGAAAAAAAATTAAGGAAATGGGTCTAGAGAGATAGCTCAGTAGTTAAGGGCATTTGCTTCTCTTGCAAAGGACCTGGGTTCTGTTCCCAGCACCGGCATCATGGCTCTCTTCCATCTATCACTCCAGTTCCAGGGAATCCAGCACCCCCTTATGGCCTCTGTGGGTACTGTGTGCATGCGGTGGTCTTTCATTCATGTAGGCAAACACTCATACACATCGAGATAGATGAGGGGGGAGGAGGTGGGGCTAGAGAAATGACTGCCGTTAGAAGCAGTCATCTTGTAAAGGGCCTACATTCAATTCCCTATACCTACATTTGGTGGCTCATAAACCAGGCAGACCTGCTTCTGGCCTCTATGGACACAGGTACTCTTGAGAGCATACCAACACATAGATATACACACACATATATATAATTTAAGGTAAAAAATAAGGCTGGGTGTTGGCGTTACATGCCTTTAATCCCAGCACTTGGGAGGCAGAGGCAGACAGATCTCTGTGAGTTCAAGGCCAGCCTGGCCTACAGAACAAGTTCCAGGACAAAGATGAAGGTGTGTTACATTGTTTTCTGTAATATTTTTGTCATGACTAGGTAAAGAGTAGAGACAATGAGGTTTGGAAAAACTAATATCTAAGGTCACCAAGCAAGTCAGTGATAGGCAATAAAGCCAAACCGTGATGCCCTACAACCAAGTGACTTTTATGTGACTGTTAAGTGAGAGAACCAAACAGTAAAGACCCAATTACTAGGTAGTGTCATCACTCCATACCAGAGGTGTACAGGTGGAGTGAGGTGGTGGACCGTGAAGTCCCTCCCCTTCTCAGCATGGACAGTGGCAGTATCCTGCAGTTTGTTTGTAGTCTTCTTGTCCACACTTCAGTGTGAACTCACCAGAGGACTGTTTGGTGATGTGTGGGTCCCAATGAGCCTTGCCTGTTTGGTTTATATTCTGGACCCTCCGCTAAAATGCCCCCTGGTTTCCTAGAAAAAGAACTTTCCACTAGAAGACAAGTATGACTGGGCGGTGGTGGCACGCGCCTTTAATACCAGCACACAGGAGGCAGAGGCAGGTGGATCTTTGTGAGTTCAAGGCCAACCTGGTCTACAAAGTGAATTCCAGGACAGCCAAGGCTAATACATAGAGAAACCCTGTATAAAGAAAAAGAGAGGAAGGAAGATGGAAGAAGAGGGAGGGAGGGAGGGAGGGAGGGAGGAAGGAAGGAAGGAAGGAGGGAGGGAGGGAGGGAGGAAGGAAGGAAGGAAGGAGAAAAGAAATGTATAATCCACACCTAGGGACTGGAGACATGGACATGCCAGGGAGGCAACCTGGGCACTCAGGGCTGGAACTCAGGGTTCAAATGCCTTCTAGGGAGCTCGAGCTGTGGCTTGTACTGGTGGGGTTTTGTTAGGGTCTCCCTCTGGAGAGAACAGAGAGAAGCTTTGCTGCAGCCTCTCGAAGTATGGATCAGAACCACAGAGAGTTCCCGCCTGAGTTGAGTGCTTTGGTTTTTTTTAGTATACTTTTGCTGTTTCTATGACAATGTATTTTGATGATTCTATGACAATCTAATTTTGAAGTGATGTGTTTGGGAGGGGTGCTTTATTATTTTTTTTGCAGGTTATTCCTGGTAGCCTGTAGTGACCTGAACTCTGCCCTCCTGCCTCAGTCCTCCTTAGTGTGTAAATTACATACAGGCGCCACCATTCCTAGCTAGTAGTTTTAATTTTTTTAATTTTATTTATTAACTTTGTGTCTATGACTGTCTTGCCAAAATGTATGTCTTTGCATTCCTGGTTCCTGCAGAGGCCAGAAGAGTCCCCTGGGACTGTAGTTACAGAGGGCTATGGGCCACCATGTGAATGCTTGGAACCAAACCTGGGTCCTCTGGAAGAGCACCCGGTGCACCTCCCATCCAGTGGTTTTCATTTTTATTTCTTTTTTTTTTTTTTTTTTTTTTTTTGGTTTTTCGAGACAGAGTTTCTCTGTGAAGCTTTGGAGCCTGTCCTGCCACTCGCTCTGGAGACCAGGCTGGCCTTGAACTCACAGCAATCTGCCTGCCTCGGCCTCCCAAGTGCTGGGACTAAAGGCGTGCGCCACCAACACTGGCAGTTTTCATTTTTAAAGATTTGTTTTTACTAATCCTTGGTTTTCCTTTGAGATCACATTTAAATTTTCCTACCTTGCTGTGCCTTGCTGGCCCCAAAATGCCCAAACTTCATTTTGGACCTACACAAATGTTCAAGTTTTTAAGGCCACCTTCTAATGTTAGCATTATGACAAGTTTGCACAAGCTCTTTACAGGACCAATAGACAGACGGATAGATGGCTGAAGGATGCACATGCTCTTTAAGGACCAATAGACAGATAAATGGCTGAGGGATGCACATGCTCTTTAAGGACCAATAGACAGATAAATGGATGAGGGATGCACATGCTCTTTAAGGACCAATAGACAGAAAGATAAACGGATGAAGAATATTCCAGTGGTGCATCCTGATGCTGCAAGAGGATGGTTTTCTTATGCTGATGTGATCATCATCAGTAAGACTTTGGATATCATGGTATGACTAGTTAGTATGACAGTTAGAAGAACTTAGAATTTGGCAGGGAGATACAGCACAGCAGAGAAGAATGTTTGCCACCAGGCTGATAAGTTGAGTTTGCTCCCAAGCCCCACATGGTGGAAGGAGAAAACCAACTCCAAAAAAGGTTGTCTTCTAGCCTCCACACCCCATACCATGGAATATGCTTATGCATGCACACACATACATGCTCATTGCCAGAGGCTCAGAGGAAGAATGGGACCCTGCAGGGGACCATTACCCTCAAGGTTCGGTATCCACTTCGTCTTCTACAGTACCAGCAGCCGATGAGCAGAGCAATTCCCAGGACCACAATCAGAATGCCAATCCCTGCGGCCCTGGACCAAGAGATAGACATGTCCAACACAGCTCAGAAGCATCGTTCCAGACGGCAATGAAACAACCTACCTCCTCCCTTTTCGTGGTTCAGAAAAGAGTCTTTCAGCTCCAAATCGTTCTCCGTTTTCCGTGCAGGGTGCCCAACCAGACTCCCAGCTCCAGTGTCTAAGGCAGGGCCTAGTTTAGGAGCCTTTACATTGCAGCAACTAAGTTCCAAGCATAAGGGGTGCCCCGGCACCTGACCCTTATGGCGACAGTATATTTCCTGAAGTAGAATAGCCTTTTCTTCTCAACACAGCTTTTTTAAAACAATTTTTCCAAATCAATCCAGAAAAAGGAAGTAGAAATGAATACCAACTATGAGCCGCTGTCATGACCCTGCAGCAAGGAACCTATCATTATCTCCACTTCACTGAGGAAAAAATAAATTCGGAGACCAGTGACTCGCCACCCAGAGCTATCATGAGGCAGAGTTGGAGTCTGAGCCTGAGACCACCCCTGCCCCATACTCTGCCCTGTCTCCTTGTGGCCCAGGGAGGAGAGTCTGAGCTGGACCTAGTGCAGCGTGCTGCTCACTTATCTGTGTATCTGGTCCTGAGCATCAGGGTGCTGTTCTGGGGCTCTTAGCCAGCTGCTGTGTCCTGTGTCCGGAGTTCCCTGGAAAGCATTACAGTTGCTGCAAAGGTCCCTGGAATAGTGTGGCATGTGTGCTCCTGCACGCCACTGCCAGTCAGCTGGCATCTGCCTGATACTCAGCATGATCCATACTGAGGACCAGACTGAACTTGCTAAGAAATGCTCTGCCGAGCTGGGGAATGCATACTACACTGAGTGGCCACAGCGGGCGCAAGGGTGAGAAGGAAGGAGTTTTGCCATTACCACCTACCTTCATCTCAGGGCTGCCGAGGCATCAAGTTTATCCTGTCCAACTCTAGATGGGATGGAGAGACCTGGGAGATGGCTGTACCAGAGGGAAACTCTGCCCTAGTCATGTAGGTCAACCTACATGTAGAGCTTCCAACTACATGACTCAAACACCCAGGTCCCAGGCACTGGAACATCCAGGCTCTGTGCTGCCCAACCCCACATTTCATTTTATCCTCACAGCAATCCTCTGACCTAAACATAGAGCATTTTGCAGTCAACATTAAGCTGTCAAAATGCTCAAGGCTGCACAGCCAGTACATGGCAGAACCAGCAGAGTAAGTGGTACTAGACAGCCATCAAGGAAGCTCTAGGATTCAGGCCGGCCAGACCCAGGTCCACTGTCCAGTGCTGGCGGGGGGGGGGGGGCCCCCCAAAAGTTCGATGACTCTTATGATTGAAGGCAGCTGACACAATTCCCAGCAGGCTTGTGCTCTAACTTCGCCCTCTGCTCTTTCTTTGAGTGTCTTGACACAGACAGAGCTCTGTTCCAACTCTTTGTGCACAGTCACGTTGTACTTAGAGCACACACGTGAGTGACTGAAAGTGTAAAACATCAAAGAATGCCAGACACCCCAGAGGAAGCCACTGAGGAAGCAGAGCCCCCCCCAGTCACCCAGACACTGGCAGCAGTCACTTGAGGTGTAATTAAAGAACAGGTCCTGGGGCCCCATGTCTGGCCTAAACTGGCTCTTTGTAGAGGTAGCACCTAGTAATCTGCATTTAGGCTAGCTCCCTGGATGGCTTATTCCCACTCAAGTGAGTAAGAACCCCTGTCTACTGCGGCTTCAGAGAGAGCTGTCAGCAGGTGGGTAGCCCTTTTTGACTGGCTATGGGAGTTCACTGCATACCATTCTTTCTCATTGTACCCCTGGCAAATTTTAAAGGAGGAGAAATACCCTCCGAGAATCTCAGAGATGAATTGCTTCAATACAGACAATTCTGCTTCCCGTGTGTCCCACCCTCCAGTTTAAACAGGGGCCAGATGAGTGAGATCCTGATACTGGTGGTCTTGTGTGGTGATTTTCTTGTGTTCTTCACTGGTCTCTTTCACAACCCTGCACAAAATCATGTACCATGGTGTTTCAGGTACTTGACGGTTGCTTCCTTCAAGGACTGAGGTTAAAAGTGTCACTGCACTGTGTTGGGGCCTCAGGTGATGTCAATGGACATGATGGCACCCACATATGAAGACTGAGTGGCTGTTTTTCTTCTGTACTGGAACCTGAGACATCTCTGTGCTCTTCTGACCCTGCATAAGCGCTTTGCCCAGGATGTAAGAAAGGATGAGCCTTCAGTGAAGGGGTTACTTTACGCGAGGCTAATAAATTACAGGTGCCCTTAGTACGCTGTTGTCTCCAACTCCAAACCCACCTGTCTTTGCCCTGCTCTGGGATGCTGGCACTGAACCCTGCAAACCCTACTTCCTCTTTGCCGCGGGCCCCTGCAGAGTGTCCCAGAAGAGTCCCATTTCTGTTCAACATCACCCATAAGCCCCCTTTCACACTGCTAGTCAGCTCAGTTGCCAGCTGTCTCCCGGCCACTCCCAGAACCGGCCTCTCCATGCTGTCACTAGCTGATGCCACTGGCCAGACGCCCGAGCACACAGAAACCAGCCGACAGAAATCCCCCTTCAGTCATGTGGGCCCCATTCCCTGGGGTTTCTCCCTCCATTTTAGGTTCCGATGACCCCTGCTTTTCCATTTGTTCGTCCAGCCCCAGGGACATAAGCAGCATCCTGCGGTTTTGCTGACCGTGTTACTTCTGTGCCTTTGTCTCCTCAAGGCCCCCACCTGCTTAACCAGTTCCTCATACCGAAGGTGAAATGACTTATTGGTGTCCATCTTCCTTCCTAGACTCGGGGAGTAATTTTGCATTGGCTGTGGGGCCGCTACTAGCTTCACCGGCTGGAAATGAGGGCTACACACCACAAAGGCTTGCAGCTTGGCAGTTTGCAGGTCTCTTTGAATGGGAGAGTGCCAACATTTGCCTTTGTTAGCTGGTGAGCTTAGTGCTTCGTGGACAAACAGAGCAGCACTTAAATCCCAGCATCGATACATTCTGTTGCACATATCTCCTAACAGTTGCAAAACTACAGTTACAAATTAGCAGGGAAATCACTTTATGGTTGGAGCCACCATGACACGAGGAACTAACTGTATTAACCCGTCACAGCATTAGGAGGGTTGAGAAGCACTGGTCTAAAGCAAAGCCTGGCTGGACTCCCCTGCTCAGGTTTGCCTCCTACCACGCCCTTCTCATTCCTAGAGTTGCTTCCTGCCTAACTCTCCCAGTGGATTCTGGACTTTTTCAGAGATATAGAACAGTATCTTTGAACCATGTACTTAGTTCTTAGAAGTAATAATCGCATAAATACTTATTATTAATTAACTTGGAAGCCCAAACATCTTTCTGTGGGATGGCACTATGGTGCAAAAGTCATGGCCACCATCTTCAGCCTGGAATCTGAGAACCACACCCGGGCCCCTCATCCATACTGGCTCTTTAGCAACTTAACACTAGTCTGTCTACAATGTCCCTGCAGCAGTCCTGAGTGGAGCTGATAGGACAGCTTGAGGAAGGAAGTGTCTGGGTCCTGGACAGATGTTTCCCAAATCAAAAACCAACAACCAAGGCCCGAGAATGCAGACATAAATATCCATATCTAACTTTTCTCACTTCTATCTCCCAACCATTTGGGAGAGGTCTGAGTGAAACCATTATAAGACTTGCAAGTCTCCCTGGGTGGCCGGGGTTGGCATTTGTGGGTGGGAGTCAGCAGGCTTTGTCTGCAAATAGCAAACTGGAAACCCCAGAAGGTCTGCCTTTTAACTTACTCCTCCGTGGTGATGTAAGAGTGGCTGTGCTCCTTCCTGGGGTAACCGAAGTGAGCATCTTCTCGTGGCATTGTGTGGACTCAGAGCACAGGACACCTAAAGGAAGGGTACGTGGGCATTGTTTAGTGTGTCCAAAACATCCTCACCATCTCACAGAGACACGGAGACTGTCCCCCCAGGATGTGTCAACTAGCATACCCTCTATCTAGGTCTTCCCTGTGGGGATTCATACCTCCTCTCATTAATTCCAAGAGCTTTAGAAATAGCTTAGGTTTCTGACACCTTTTAATGACTGGGAGTTTAAGTTCTAAGAAAGTACAAATGAAACAAAGCACTTTAAAACCGAATTATCGGGGAGTGTGTCTCTCAGGCCTTCAGTTTGACTGTAAGATAAAATCAGAGAGGTTTTTTTTTTGTTTTGTTTTCTCTAGCTTTACTGGCCTAGGGCAACAGCTAATAGAACAAGAGGTGGGGCTACAGGGGTGAGTCAGTGTGTGAAGATGTTTGCTACACAGGTAAAGGTGGAAGATGGCTCCATGGCATTGTCTTCTGAGCCCCACAGTCCACTGTGACACTCGTATGCGCGCGCACACACACATGTACACACACACACACACACACACACACACAGACACACACATACACACACAGACACACACACACAGAGACAAACACACACACACACCCCACACACATGTGTGCCTGCACATTGTGTAATATACATTTTAAAAGAAATAAAAGAAGCTAGGCAGTAGTGGTGCACACCTTCAATCCCAGTACTCGGGAAGCTGAGGCAGGAGGATCTCTGTGAGTTTGAGGCCAGCCCAGTCTACAGAGCTAGTTCCAGGACAACCAGAGCTACACAGAGAAACCCCGTTTCCAAAACAAAACAAAACAAAACAAACAAAGATTCATTATTTTTCTCCAAAATTACCTCTGTCCTCCATCTCTGTCCAGGCAGAAGGTTAAAATGCTCAGTGAGATGTTCCCCAGATGTGTGCGCTAGTGACAGAGCATTTTCCAAACCCATTTTTCAACAAGACAAACCTAGCAAGGCCAGGGCCTCATGTCATCTAATAATTTTTTTTCCCCTCACATTCAACATTCAATTCAATTTCTATCTATACGGGTCTCATGGCTAGGAATTAAAAAAAAAAATTTAACACAGAGTCTCACTATGCTACCCTGGCTGTTATAGAACTTAGTATGTAGATTAGACTGACCTTGAACTCATAAAGATCTGTGTGCCTCTGCTTTCCAAGTACTGAAATTAATTAAAGGTAAGTGCCACCACATCCAACCCAAACACACACACACACACACACACACACACACACACACACACACACACAGTGTGTATAAAGAATACCAACAAAAATCTCATGGACTACAGTGGTCATAATTAAAGTGAGCTCATTAAAAAGCAATAATGGAAGCTTTACATTTTTACAGTTTTCCATTTTGAAGAACAGGGAGGATGGGGGAGCAAAATCAGGACTTTGTTTTTTATCACCTGATTCTTTTCCACAGGGGACATTTTGCGTGTAATTGTCCTTCCCAGGTGTAAAAAAGAAATTACAGTTGATCTCACGTATCATCTCAGGTGGGTAGTGTAGAGGTGAAACTCATGTTAACAGACAAGAGACTCACTTAATTCTGCATTGTTTCTTTGTATGCATCTCCCTCAAGCTCAGAGCCTCGGCAAACAGTTACAGGACAAGTGTACCTCACCCCACTCAAACCAGCAGAAGTCACTTTGGGTGACAGACTACATCTAGTGTAAAGGGGTTCCTGTCACCAGCAACAACCCCCACCCCCCACCCCGCACTCCGAATCGATATTCTTGGCAACCTTAGAGGACTGAGAGAAAATCTAAGAGACTGTGAACTCCAGAAGTGAGACAATTACACACAGGGGGAGGGGGCAACTCTGCTGACACTTGAGATTCAAGAAGGCCCCGATGGGGGACAAAGGAGTCCCCCAATCCCTGTTCTGAAAGAAGCCAGTGCTCTTACCTTCCTGAGGAGACAGGCCTCTGCGTGCTGACTGGCTGTGTGTATGAAGACGGCTTCTCTGGCTATTAATCTAAATTTTTTTTTCATTCTTGATCTTGAGTCTCATGATAGTCATGGGTCTGAATTCCTAATGGGTTGTCTGTGATTGCTTATTTGGCATGAAAGAAACTAACTTCATTATACCCTTTAGGGAAAACAGAGAGAGAGAGAGAGAGAGAGAGAGAGAGAGAGAGAGAGAGAGAGATCACTCTTGGTGGTGGTGGCCTATGTTTCCCAACTGGCAACACTTTACCCAGGGAAGCCATGCATTTTTAAGTTGCCCAGTAAACTACAGGGTGTCTAGGTAAACTTGCATTTCACATAAACAAGTATTTTTGTCACGCGTCTAATGTAATTTTTTTTTTTTTTACTATAAAAATGCCTCAGCCTGGAAGTGCTCAGCTCTAAATGTGACTTGTATGTCACACTCCTCAATGTTCTGGGATCTTCAAGGACGAGGAGGCAGAAAGATTTTAAGAGTCAGAGGCGGTGGCTGACGAATCTCTAGCCACAACAGGGCAGATGCACTAAAGTACTCAGAAATTCTGACAGCATGCACAAGACCTACTCAAATCAGACAAAGCCCACCACTAGCTGAGGAGTATTCAATAGCTGCCAAAGGGAGAGTATGGGTTTTCATTAATGGGGTTGACCTATGGCAGGTTGACCGAACTCTAGGGCAGATTCTACTTCCAAGAGTAGTTGGGCACCATAAACTATACTCCAAGGGTGAAGAGGAAGAAGAGGAGGAGGAGGAGAGCTCAAAGTTGGGTGGGCAGGGAGGTAAGAGTGGAGGGTGGGTGTAGGAGGAGGTGGAAAAGGAATATGATCAAAATACATTGTCTGAGATTCTGAAATTTTTAAGAAAATGTTATTTTAAAAACATGTATCAAAAATTTTTTAAATGTCTCATATATTATTGGGATAATGCTACACTAAAAAATTCTATTTTGTAAACAGAGAATGGCAGCTGATGCCTACAATGCCAGCACTTGGGATGCTGAAGCAAGAGGATCACAAGTTCAAGGCCAGCTTGGGCTATATAGTGAGACCTGCTTCCAAATACCTATATAGTTTATCTGAAGCCCAAGCTTAACTGGGTGCCCTACTTGCACCCCAAGGAACTGAGGAGTTTGTAGGCTGGGGTCTGGGAAACAAGTCCCAACAATCCATGTCCTCCTTGTTTTCGGAGGCCCTGGAGCTAACTGTCCACTGAGGATTGTGAGTTTCCACGCACTTGCAAGAGACAGATGAAATTTCCCTTTCCAAGGCAACCTACTTGGACTCTCACTAAACCAGGGATAATTCCACTTACCTCAAAATCCAATATGTAGTAATGAGACAGTGGTAACCTTTGCTAACTGGCGGTCCCTAACCATCACAGACAGACAAATCCACCTCAGTTTAAGGAGTACAAGAGTCTTCATCTGCTAGGACTTGGGTGACCACATCTGAGGGCCATATCCTCTCAGAACCTATGGTTCTAGTTTCCATGCTGGGCTATGAACAAGAGCCTGCTTTGTGTGAGGATAATATGAGCCTACTGGAAACTTAGCAACTGTCACTAGAATTAGCAAGGGACACACAAAACAGAGAAGAGAGTTGTTCCTAGGGGAAGCTTGTCTGCTGTGGATCAATCTTTGTATAATGTAAATACCTATTACTCTCATTGGTTAATAAAGAGCTGACTGACCTATAGCTGGGCAGGAAGAGATTGGGCATGAGAGCCAGACTAAGAGGACACTGGGAAGAAGAAGGGTGGAGTCTGAGGAGACACCATGAGATGCAGAGCAAACAGGATGGGAAGTACATACATGAGGTAAACAAGCCTCAGGGCAGCAGCACATAGATTAATAGAAATGGGTTAATTTAAGTTATAAGAGCTAGCTAAAAACAAGCTTAAGCTATCGGCTGAGCATTTGTAATTAATATTAAGTCTCTGTGTGGTTATTAGGGAGCGACTGCTGTGACAGAAAAGTCTGGCTACATCTTTCTGCAAAGGACAGACACTTTAAACTAAGAACTAAACGGCAGAGAGGAGAAGGCCATGCTTTTCATTAGGGCATTAGGGGTGTGGCTCTGTGACAGAGCTATTGTGAGGCCCTGGGTTCAATCCCTGACCATGTTAACAAAGAAAGAAAGAAAGAAAAGAAAAGAAAAGAAAAGAAAAGAAAAGGAAAAACATCTCAGGTAGAACAACGGTGCATAAGCACTGAGACAGGACCAGAGCATGAGTTGGGCACCCAGAATTGGGACCGGGTCAGCAGATTCTTAAAAACCTACAGTCTGCCCTGCCTCCAAGATGTCCTAGGGCAGCAGTGGCACCAAATTTGTGGGAGCAGCCAACCACTGTCTGGTTTAAGTCCCACTCCACGAGACAAAACTTATACCTTACATTTCACGGGTGACCAAGACCGAGACACTAGATAACTCAGAGACCTAGGGTAAAATGAAATATTACTGGTCTGAAAAAAAGGAAAAAAGCCATTAAGATGAGTCCTAATGAAATTCTGCTCTACTCAGATCAGTGCTTTATCCAATCATCAGAGAGGGTTCCTCCGGCAGCAGATAGGAGCAGATGCAGAGACCCATGGCCAGACACTACATGGAAAGAGATTCTAAATGGGATGTCTCCATCAAATCCCTCTCCTCAAAGCTCAGGGAACTCCAAGAAGAGGATGCAGGAAGATTGTAAGAGCCAGAGGGGCTGGAGGACACCAGGAGAACAAGGCCCTCTGGATTAACTAAGCAAGGCATGTATGAGCTCACAGAGACTGGTGCAGCAAATACAGGGCCAGCATAGCATGTGTTTGTACTATGGCCTCTGCATATATATTATAGCTATTTGCCTAGTATCTGTATGGGACTCCCAAGTGTGAGAACTAGTGGGTCTGTGATTCTTGTGCTTGCTCTTAGGACTCTTTTCCTTCTTTTGGGGGGTCTTTCCTTCTGTTGGCTTGCCTTGTCCAGCTTTGATGTGATGGTTTTTCCTTCATCTTAGTATATTCTTTTGTCAT